TCCTGAAAATTCCTCAATTGACCCTACCTTACCTTGACTTTCTCCTGGCTTCTATGACTTTTCCTTGACTCCAAATTTTCTGACTCCCTAACTTTTAACAAAACTTCCACTCAATCGTTTTTTTTTTTTTTTTTTTTTTTTTTTTTTTTTTTAAACGCTGAATTTTTCTAACCTTTAAACAGAATTTCAATCATAGAGATTCTAATAATGGAAAAGTAATTAAGAAATTGTTTAGGTTCTTTCGAACGGCACAGGCTGAAGCTGCTCAGCCAATGCATTCTCATGAAATCCTAGACTCCCTGTTCCACACCACTGAAAACCTCGCATTTATTAACTTCTAACACAGAAAATTTTTGATGAAAAGATAAACATCACATAAGTTGCAAGTTCCCTATTTGAACTTTTTTGCCTATTTTTAAACATCCTTCCAAGTTTCGAATCAATTTCCTATGTTCTTTCAAGGTACCTACATTATTACTTGACTTTAACATATCTTATTTCTAGAGGGTAAAAATGTCCTCGAAGTTTCTCGAAAACAGAGAGCTAGTAGCCAGTAGCTCTCTAAACTAGACCTCCAGGAAAAATAAATAAGCTTGTATGTGTGTGAATTCTGAATCAGATTCAAAGATCAGTGTTGGTGAAATTCGATGCCTGGGCATATCTACTCAACGCGGGACGTTCATCACCTGGAATCGGACAACGGGAGAACCATACCATAACTTCATTTCATGGAAAGACATTCGAGCTGACAGCTTAGTCAAGTCCCTGAACGGGTCATTATGGATGAGGGTAAGTCTACAGCAGCTCCACAACATTACATGTCTAATACTAAGTTACTTGCGGGGTTTTCTCCCCGAAAGATAAGCCGCAAATTTCATTCAACATGAATTTCATTTTGCACTTTTGTTGCAGCATTTAAACATAATCAATAGCGTGACTTTGGAAATATTCTTCTCAAATTTTGAAAACGCCAATTTTTTAATCTCTTCATGTCTTACAAAGGAAAACATACCAGTCTTATTACTTGAATTTTATTCTCATTTTTCTCTATCCTAAACACAAAACTTGGTGAAAATTTTCTAACTTTGAAGTTATTTAATTTTTTGGCCTGTGATTTGTACAAGCGAGGCAAGGCAAGACATACGTAAATTTATATTATTAAATAGCCAGAAAAAAAAAGAAAACTCAGATAAGCGCCAATAACATTCATTTGGGTTTTCAAATAGGGGTGAATAGAAATTCTGAATGGAAAATAAGGAAAAAGGGTTACCTTCAAAGAGACAGCATGTTTTTCCAGAGTGACATTGTACAGAAAATGTTGCGTGCTTAGAATCTACTCTAGCACATCATTCAAGAATCAAATATTGGCAATTGTAAATACAGCCAGCTCCTTGACAATCTCGAAGTATTTTTTGAGCCTGTAAAAGAAAAGAGGGGGGAAAAAACAAGTGAATAAAATTCTGTTTCTAAGTAGGACTGTTAGATAACAGCAACAAAAAATTGTAACTTTGGCTTCTCAGTAAAGTAAAAAATCAAATTAAAGACAATAACTCCTTGCTAATCCTTTGATAGCAACCTAGTGTGATGTTGTTTAATTATTGCAAGAATTTCTAGGCAGTGGCTGGTAAAAACTTCAGGATAAAAAAAAGGTCAACCTTTTGGTCACTAAAACAAAAGCCTCAGCTTTATCTTGTTTATTTTAGAGTTTGCGCTACAGTGCCTGGTTTCTTTACATGGTAACGAGAAGCAGCCGATTTCTTGCGGGAAGTAATCTCCAACTAATGAATGTGCAGGTTAGTACCAGCATTATGTTGCAAAATCTTTAATTCAAATAATAAATTATGATCTATGGCGTAATTAGTTTCCTGATTACAATTGTGATTTTAAGCTCAAAATCGAAGAAAATTTAAAACTTTGCAATATTCCTTTTCTTAAGTACTGAGAAACAACTGAAAAATTAAGCATCATAGAAACAATTTCGTACAGTTATTGATCATACTATTTTCACTATTAGTTTAAAAGCTGCACAAAATGATTTTAAAATTTTCCAAATCAGGGAATTGTTCCTTCAATGTTTTAAAATGACCATCCCAATGCTGACTTTTAAGGTGAACCTCAAGAGAATACATCCATGCAGTTATTTAGTTGAAATTTTCTGCAAGATAAATTGAAATAATCTGTCTTTTCTGACTCATCAATTGAAGCCTATCAGCGCCTCTTTCAAGGGCAGTGTTTGACTATTGATAACTCTCCTCAGAAGAAGAGTTATTATAGAATGACAATAAATTTAAATTTCATTTGACTTTGATGATGCATTCAGTTAAAGAGGTAAAACGGCAAGAGAAGGTTGAAAATTATAGCATTTTAATTATTGTGTCTGTCAGTGAGTAAAAAATTATAGGTTACGAATTGCTGGTGCATCGGATTAACTGTTATTCTGTTGGAAATGATGTGACTTCTTCTGCTCAGTACTCTGTCATAACTCATGTATTTCCAAATAAAATGAGTTTTGCTATTTCAGCAGTATCATTCAGTTCCTTAAAAAGAATTTGAGTGGCATTTGTGAAGAAAGCATGTTTCCAAAAATTTTCCAAATAACAGAGTAGTGATGGAAAATCGGCTCCGGTTGCTCAGCCCCAGATGAAAATAGAATACCAACAGCCAAAGTGCAAAACCACATATCTACGTTTACAATCCTGTAAACTTCCTGTCAAACTTTATTTTTTCATCGGAAAATCAGTCAACTTAAAATCCTGAAAACTTCCTTGATTTTCCTTTTTTATTAGCATAATATGCTGTAGAACTTTCAAGTTAGTTTATAAATGACTTGTTTCTTTTCGAAAAAGTAAAATAGGAGCAGAGTTTCGAAACATCATGATGAAGATACGCGATTTCGCATTTTAGCCATCAATACTGCCATGCTAAGGAAAAACGCCGTATGGACCTTTAGACGTTGCCGAATTTCCGTTGGTAAATTACGAATTTTCGGGACAATTTGTAAATATTATTCTTCCAATTTCTCAGGTAATTTTGTTCGCAATTTTACCTAAAGCTCTTGAAAATTTCTCGGAAAAATGTTCATAACTTTCCTCAAAAACAAACATTTTATCGAAGGAAATTTGGCAACTCTCCAATGTTCATACGGCGTTTTTCCTTAACACGGCAGGATAAGGGACCCAACACAACTGACTCGTTCCGACGATTTTTTCCTTAGGTTACGGTGAGACTCCTGTGGGTGCTTGAGAACATACAAGGGCTGCGTGAGGCTGCAGCCAAGGGCGATGTGATGTTCGGCACATTAGACACTTGGATTCTGTACAAGTTAAGCGGAGGCGAGATCCATGTCTCTGACATATCCAGCGCTAGTGCTACAGGCCTCTTTGACCCCTTCACTCTCTCCTGGGCCGAGTGGGCCTTCTTCCTCTTCAAAATTCCGTCCAATATTCTCCCGCAAGTTGTTGACTCCACAGGTCACCATTTTGGCCACGTCAAGGCAGAAATTTGGGGCGAAAAGATACCTATCCAATGTTCTGTGAGTTTTTTTAATATTTCTTGTTTTTCTTCTTTGCCAAAGTGTGCAGTCCAATTAAATTTATTTTTAATGGGGAGAGACAAACATTACTAGACTTTTCAAGGTCATGAATCATTCAATTCCCCGCAATCTCCCGACACTTGGCAGATTTTGGGCCTAGAGATGCACCTCATGAGACAAAAGGAATTCTAATTCAAGCTGTGCCTAGATAGAGCATGGGGGTAATTGGATTCGTCAAGAAACTCTTAAAAAGGTATTCAAGGAATCCAGGAGGATTCAAGGTTTTATGATGAAATTTCCTGCCTTTCCACAGTAGAGTACAATTTATTGATATTTCCGAAGTGTCCCAATTTTTCAAGAACTCACCCTATTCTGGTGAATTACCACACAAGGTTGGGAACCAAGCGACTTGATACATATTAATGACAAAATTGCAAAACCATTTGTTTCGCTTCACAACACTGGATATTTCTGTTGCATTTAGTTTTCGCTGAAGATAGACTGCTCATCATTCCTGCATGAGTCTTAAGTGATTTTTCTTTGCAATTTAAAACTTTTCACTGAAATTTCATCACCGGTTAACTTGCACTAGTCTTGGTTTTTTAAATTAATTGCTTATGTTGTTAATAACTTTCGTAGCACCGAAACACTTTCAGTAAGCTGTAACTATTTGTTTATCGTTAATGCATTAAATTTTAAAAATTTTGGTGAATTGAAACCCACCATATCCTGGACTTTGAATCAGGAAAGATGTTTCGTATTATTTTGATTTCCTTCCTAGAGAAAGGATCAATGTGGAAAATTTTGTTCATCTTTTTGTTAAAACTTTTCGACTGCTTTCTGTCCAGCTGGCTGATCAGGCAGCATCATTATTCGGCTCTGGGTGCTTCAAAGCGGGCGACTTAAAAGTAACACTGGGGACAGGCAGCTTTCTGAGCGTCAACACTGGCCAGATACCTCATGCATCTGTTGCAGGTAACAATTATTAAGGTTTTGAATGTTAACATACGGACAGTAGGACAGGATGGAGCATCATTTTACATACGTAGTTTAAAAAAATGTAAAAAAACGTTTCAAAACGACAGAAAAAAAAGGAAATAATATCAATGCAATAATTAAGAATGTTTTGAGGGGTCGCATATAGATGGCTAAAGTACAACACTTTGTATCTTCACTGCAGTGTTTCAAAATCTTCTCTCCTAGTTTATTTTTTCGAAGAGGAACGAGTCAACTTCATAGATCAAACTTCAGAAAGAACATTCTACTAACAGATAAGACAAATCAAGGAAGTTTTCGAGAAATTACGTTGACTAGTTTTCTGAAAAAATAAGTTAAGAGTTAATAGTTTTTAGAAAAAATAAAGTATGAAAGTTTACAACATTTTAGACGGAGGTGGGTAGTTTTGCACTTTTGCCATTAATATTGCATCTACGAATCTATTTGGTGGATGGATGATTGAACCAGTAGATCGGGTTTTAAAAACGTGTTTATTCCTATAGATGCATTTTGGCCAGAGGGCCATCATCAGTAGCAATGACAGTACAAATATGCAAACAAGCAAACAAACTACGAGCGTACAGGTAACAGGCTTAGGAATGCATTTAGTGGAATAAAAATGTTCATAAAACCAGCATTTACAAAGTTGTTTTACAACAACAACAAGTGCAAACAAAAGAAAACAGTAATATAAACACTATAAAGCCAACAAAAATAGTGTAGGGTTAGGTTACTTACTTATAATAGTAAGGTTACTTCTACTGCTAGAAGACAATGCTTGTTCAGCGACACATTTTAAGTTTATATGCCTGATTGGAATCTAAATTATCATTCTATTGAAGCTTATGACTGATAAAATAAAATTCAAACCCTTGCATAAGTTTATAGTGCATGAATACAAATTTTGAATTTTCAACAAGAAATTGATTTTTGTACGTACTAAATGGAAAGTATTACAAATAAGAACCCACCTAGATTTCTATGGAAAAGCGTACACTGCATGATGAACTTGCGCAATATGGACCTCTAACTTCACCAACTGCTTCAAGAGCAGACATTATTACATACATTGAATTTCCATGTTTTGACAATTGGACTGAACTAAGTTCGGAACTCTTTTCATAAGTGTCTTGCTGCACCATTTGTTCTCTTAACTGTAACAAAAGAAACAAGCCTAAAAGTAATTAATTATTCAAGCAAACCTCATCTGATTTATGTTGACTGTTATTAATAACAAAGCTTTTCCAACCGACTGTCAACGCCCTGGCTTCCAGAATCTTTCAAAAAAATTTAAATGACTGGTATATTCTTTTCCTCATTGATGATCCTTGAAAAAAATTAAGGTTCTTGTGTAAGAGTGTACTTTGTGATATTGAAAAATTTCTACAGTGATAGCTCAATCTATTCCTTGATTATCGTTGGTAAAATAACAGCTGAAAAAAGGAGTATTCATCTTGCTTACAAAAAACAACAAGAAAATAACTGCCTGAAATACAGCTTTTAGTGTAGTCAGAAACTTTCTGTAGTTTTCAATCTTTCAACGAATGTTTAGAGATTTCCGCCAGACTGTACAAATTTTTGGATCCCGTTGAGCGTGGATATCCCATTCACTCATCCTCAAAAAAAATCCACTACAGTTGCTCTCTTTTATTTTATTGTCTTATCATCACTTTACTGTGAAATAAATAGAATAACGCATTGACAGTTCGTATGACAACAGCTAGTTAATGTTTTAAAATTTGTGCTTGGCCACAGGCTTATACCCTCTTGTTGGATGGCGGATTAAGGACGAACTTGTCTATGCAGTTGAAGGCTCAGCCTACGACACTGGCTCTCTCATAAGTTGGGCAAACTTAACTGGTAAGCAAAATCTAATAACATCTACAATGATGGTCTAATTAATTAATGTTATCGTTGGATAACATTAATTAATTAGACCTAGTATAATTTTAATTAAATTTAGTTGTAGGCTTTGATGTACAAGGATATTCAAGGATAAGAGGATTGATTCTGTAGTATGAAAATTTTTATGAGGAAGATCTCTAATTGATAACATTTTATAATTTTCTAGAAGATCTCTGATTGGTAAGATTTTATAATTTTCTAGGAATCATTCCAAGTGTTGAGGAATCATCCAGAGTGGCTTCATCGGTAAATACAAGTGATGGTGTGTACTTCATTCCTGCATTCAGTGGACTTCAGGTAAGTTAACATCTTGTACAAGGGTCGTCCAAAAAGTAAGTTTACCTAATCAATATCTACTCAACTAAGATAGATAGAGAAATTTCGTAAATGACATTGAAAAGCCACTACTCTCAGCTTTCTAACGCGCTATAGATTTTTAAATTTTGTTTAATAGAACTCTGGAAAATTGGGTTTTTCCGGACCCACCTCCTCTCTGCATGGGTTCAAAATTTCAAGTAGCGTCATCCGCAAGTGAGCTGCTTTGCCTATGGAAAAAAAATGACCAAGGGAGAATGAAATAAATATAAAACATGAGAGAGGACATTTTTCAACTAGGAAATAATAGAATCAACCATCTTTTCTTCAATATTAGTTGTATCCGAGCAAAAGTTTACTGAATAGTCGAAGCTTTTAAACAATCCCGCCTATTCTCGAAGAAATTTTGTCAAAGATGCATCATTTGAAAAATTATGCAGCCTTAACAACTTCTTTACTGTAAATGTCCCCGGAAGTGAGCAGCTACGATCACTTTACTTGAGGAGTTAACGAATAATAGAGTTCAATTCACCCACCGAAACCAAATTCAGCGTTACAAAGGCCCCGATTTTACCGGATTAAGCTTAAAATTTCCATGCACTGCTGTCCAAACCCACCAATAATCGATGTAAACTTGATTAATCTTGCATTTTTCTGGTTGAGGAATGTCCTCACTCACGTTAAGCATTTTTTTCAACTACCTCTAAGTCTCTTTTATGCCATAAGCAATAGACATAGCAGCTCACTTGCGGATGACGCTCCTAGAAATTTTGGACCCGTGCAGAGAGGAGGTGGGTTCAGAAAAACCCAATTTTCTAGAGTTTTGTCGAACCAAATTTAAAAATCTATAGCTTGTTAGATAGCTAAGAGTAGTGGCTTTTCAATGTTATGTGCAAAATTTTTTCTATCTATCTTGGTTCAGGAGATATTGAAAAGGTAAACTTACTTTCTGGACAACCCTCGTACTTATTTAATGTGTAATCCCAAAAAACATCCCTAAGTTTTGCAACATAAGTAACAATAAATGTCTCTAGATGGCTGTGGGCTCCTCCATTGGAGCAAAAGCCACTAAAATAATAATAATAAGAAGAAGTGATGATAGTAAACTTTTTTCTATTTGTCTATGGAGTTAAATTTGAAGGAGTTCGTCATAATCATGGTCGCAGACAGACATGGGTGATCAAAATTTAAAGGATAAGAAGCAAAGCAAATGATGTTGAGGCAACTCCAACTTACAGATACATATTTTTCTAAGTGTAAGAGGATCGAACCATTAATGCAAAAGTTAAATGCCGAAGAACCAAAGTACGATAAAGATACAAAATAATAGCAAGTTGAAACCTCCTAACCACTCTTTTAATAAAACGTAAACTTTTGAAAACCTCGTTAACAACAAAGTCTACTTGTTTAGAAAAACTGAAATCGGAAATGGAAATGACACCCAGATTCCTGATGGTGTCAACCCTCTCAATCGGAGATTTGCAGAGAGGAAAATCTGAGCAAAGAGAACAACACCTAAAGTTAGGCAGAACTTTACACTTGCTCAAATAAAATTTTAATTAATTTAACCTTGACCACTTAGATAGATAATCCAGGTCCGCTTGAAAGTGCATGAAGAGCATAGCATAATGCAGAGGCCTGACAATTCCATAAGCTTTTAAAGTCATCAGCGTACATCAAAGCGTTCCAAAAATTCAAGCCTGGATAAGAATAAACCCAGGTACCTAACAAAATGCTCATGGAGGCCAAGATCAAAGAAAGCTTTTTCTGCCGTTTTAAAGAAGAACGCCACATGAACATTCTAGAGTTGCCGAATTTCCTCCAATATAATGATTATTTTTGAGGGAACATATGAATATTTTTTCTTGAAATTTTCAAGAAATTTGGGTGAAATTGCGAACAAAATTATCTGAAAAATTGGAAGAAAATATTCATAAGTTTACCGGAAAATTTGCGATTTATCAAAGGAAATTTCGCAATGCCTAAAGGTTCATACGGCGTTTTTCCTCAGCTCAGCAGTTTTAATGAAACAATAATGACTTACTAAATCAAAGGTTTCAGCAAAATCAGCGTGCAAAACATCTACCTGAAGAGAGTAATCAAGAGTTGCAGCAATAAAATCGCTGAAAACCAGCAGACTGGAGACCACAGATCTCCCTCTGACAAAGCTATGTTGCTCTTTTATCAGAGATTTCGAATTTTTATTCTATTCCTTTCATTTGACACAAATTGACAGTACGCATTTTGAGGTTTCTGTTTTGAGCCACTACAAATTGAGTACATACTAGGGAGAATGAAAAGTTAAATTTTTGGGTTTTTGATTTCAGGCTCCAATAAATGACTCCAAAGCTGCCGCAGGTTTCATTGGAGTTAAACCCTCTACATCTCTCGCCAATCTTGTTCGAGCAATCTTGGAGAGCATAATTTTCCGTACTGGTCAACTCTACGAGATTCTCTTGGACGAAGCGAGTTTTTCATACTCGCACATTCGGTAACATTCTTTTAAATACTTCATTATCTGACGTTTCTTAATTTTTGGTATTTTCCCTGGGGCGAAGAAAAAAAACATTTTTGTAAGTTTCAAAAGGAATATTTTGATTCTAAGGATGAAATAGTGATCACTTATCTGCTGATCAACTCTTCAAATTTGGCAACATTTTAATGAAAGTTTTGCAGACATTAGAGCTCTGATACAAAACATTTCCAAGGTGCTTCAATAGCACTTTTTAGAGCAATTCGATTCGATTGAATGTACAATTCTTTATTTTTGGATTTTAGAACATTTTTCCAAAAATTCCCAGCTAGGGTGCATTAAGCTGTAGTTTAGCAGGTATTTATACATAAGATTAGACAGAGAAACACTTCGAAATAACCTCAATAGTACGTCCTGGGTGTACATAGCAAATCAAAAGACAAAAATGTTTAAAAGGGCAAAAGGTATTGAATAAAAGTATAAGTCTAAAATTATCCAGAATCTCTTCTGGAAAATTGTTTGAATGTGATCTATTAATATTGAAAATTACATGATACATTATTGAAACTATATAATCATGTGATTACAGTATTGATGGCGGAGTCTCAAAAAATGACTTTGTTTGTCAGTCGATTGCCAATCATACTGGTCTGGCAGTTGAACGACCTGTGTTCACGGATGTATCAATTTTAGGCGTTGCCTACATGGCTGGCCTTTTTTCAGGTAAGATTTTTAATGAAACTGCATTTTGAATTTTTCATAATTTCTTAATATTTTGTCTTTCGACCACTTGCTCTCTTACTGCTTATCAACGATGAAGACTCTTTCAATGAATATTTTACGGAAAAAAGTGATAGAATTTGCCTCATCAAGAGGACTCTCAGATTGAGATGAAATTGAAAAAAAAAACTCTTGACTGTTAAGAAGGTTCAAATCAATGAGGGATTGAAAAAACCACCAGGGAGACTTTTCAAAGGGGCTCCTCTGGTCATTGCTTCAAAAGAAAATTTGTAAATCAAAATGCAATGGATTAGATACCAGTTTTCATTCCTTAAAAAATAAAATAAAAATTTATGTTTGTGATTAGTATATAATGTGAGAAGTTTTCGACGTTGACCATGAACATTAAAGAAAATTAAAGAAAAACTTCCGAATTTCAGAATAAAGACCTGCTCATTTTTTAAATTTAGCAGACATTAAAGGATTAGTTCTTTATGGCTTCATTATAACAGCATTTCAATTTTATCAGAGCTAAAATAAATACAACAAATGAATTGGGAAAAAAAGCATAACCAATATTGAATTGAAGGTAAGCTGAAGAATCACTGAGAGAAAGAAAGAAACGAAAAAACAATGGTTAAAAGGTCTTCAGACATACGGCTATTAAATTAACTCAGCACTAAGGAGGTTCAGCTCCTTTTTTTCTTGAACACTGTTTGAAAATATGGAGACAGATTTCTGTAGAGTAAAATCTATTTTTCTTTTTCCAGGTTTGTGGAAATCAAGAGATGAAATCATCGATTTAAGGAAACTGGACCAAATTTTCAGCCCCAAACCAGTAAGCACTGACTACAAAAAAGCATATTTGGAGTGGGAAAAAGCAATTTTGCGTTTTAAAAACTGGTATTCTTAACCTTATATAATTAAGATCATGAAAACTGAGATGGACCAATCGCACAAAGCAAGAAAAATTAGAATCCACTATTTTTTATAAAAATATAAGGGCTCTTTTGAAAGCCAGTGCTAATAATTATTTGCACAAAGTCTGCCAGATGTTCCCAAAATATCTGACAACGCACTTCAAAATTTTTATTTTGTAATTCATGAAATTTTATTTTTTACAATTTTCATACCCACTGTAGAGTGTTTGTATTGGATGACTTTTTAGTTCCCGGTGCTTCTCACTTTTCTGTAACAGACAAATTTATTCCTTATCAGTTTATCTTTTTCTCATTTTACTTTATGATAGAACTTAGAAGGTGGCTTGCTTTATTTAAGTTCATGTGTATGTATTTTAGAAGTTTACAGAAAAAGAGTGTGCTTTAAATTTAAAATTGATGAAAGATTTTACCATTTTTATGATACAATAACCAAAGAAAAATTATGACGTGCAATTTTTTAGAATATTGTTTTGAATTTTTTTTATTACGAGCTTAATTTTTTGCTCCAAAAGCTTTTTCCTTATAATTAGTACTAGTTTTAAGGACCGATTCAGGAAAGTTTCTATTCCCTCCAGTTTGCATTCATACTAGTTTTTATAACCAAAGCACAAATTTGTATTGTTATATTTTATCAAGTTTATACGGGTTACTCATTTACTCTTTTCTTACAAGTCGATCCAAGGAAACAAAATATAAGACTGTGTCCTTTATGTTGTTGATTTATTGAAATCAGTTTCCTAAATTTACCAACTAAATATCTTTGTCTGATTAAATAAAAATTGTATTTCAATTGCCTCGTTAAATGGAGTGAATATCACATAACCTTCTATCAGGACCTTATCTTGTAGAAAAGTAAAACAACTTTTGAATAATCCCATTGAGTATGATTAAGATTAGATAGAAATTCATCCTTCTCCATCCTCCTCCCCCACAGATAATAATTGCGTTTGTGAGTGAAACAAATCTACTTAGGAAAAGGTTGTTGTGGATCTATAAATAACTAATTCAAGGATAAGGCCTTTCAAAACAAACTTAACGTTCCTTGAAGTAGAAATGAAGCAAGCATCTATTTAGGACTTGATGGAAGTCGACAGGTAAATATGAAATATATGCATCCCAGCAGCAACGACTTGTTGGAATGTTTTAGGGCAGGAAGCCAAGTTTTCTTAGATTTCAAAATTCTGTGACTTTTCGGAAAATTTGAACATATAATCCTCTGAAATTTCCATGTATTATTTTTTAAAAAATTTATAAAAAGTACAGACACTCACATGCACGTCAAATGTTAGAACACCTGTGCAAGTTCCTGATAGTTCATTTTATTATTTTTTTAATTTTTTCTTTGGGGGGAGGGAGGCAGTTATCTATTAAAGAGTATTTTCACAAAAAATTTGAGAGCAAAAATATACAATGTTCTTACTGGAAGGAAGGCAAGGTTCCGCAAAAAAATTCCCTGTCTTTTCAAGAAATTGTCCCCTTGCAAGAGAGGAACTCCACAGCGACGTCATCCCTCTCCGTCCCTAGAGATGTCTTCCGAATCCTTCTTCATTGAATCCCCTCCCTCCTCAGGAAGTATTTCCTATCTGCATCAAGGTGATAACCTTGCTTTCTTATTTTCCCTAGATTAAAAAATTTTCCACTTCTGTGAAAACAACAGATTTCTTCTTCGCTACAACCGTGCGACATCGTCGCAATTCTTTATTATATCATGTTAAGAAGGATGGAACTCCACAGCAAATTATTAAACGTGGAATATTTCTGATATCTGCACGGAAACATCGCGAAAATAAGAGAAAAACAGCGTAACAACGGGGGGGAGGGGGAAGGCGAGTTATTTTGCGTCAATGGAAAATATGACAGACACGTGAGGCGCCGCCTATTGACCCTTTGTCGTTGACGTTCTGCAACTTTACCGTGCTACGTAAAAACGCCGCGCCGTATGAATCTTCAGGCGCTGCCAAATTTCCATTTATAAAACACGAATTTCCTGGTAAACTTATGAATATTTTCCTTTCAATTTTTCAGATAATTTTGTTAGCAATTTCACCTAAAATTCCTGAAATTTTCAAAAGGAAATATTCATAACTTTCTTCAAAAATAAAGATTTTATCAAAGGAAATTTGGCAACTCTCGAATGTTCATACGGCGTTCTTCCTTCGCGCGGCAGAACTAGCATCATAACAATCGAGCGATCAAAACAAAAACGAAAAAAACGGAGCCTTTGACACAGTAAGCATGAGATAAGACCGGGTCAAAGGCAGTCAAAGGCCTCTGTTTCGCGACTGAGCTATTTTCGCGCGAAAGAGCGGGTATCCGTTCATGGAGGGGAGGGGGTGCCTTATCATTTAGGAAAGAGAGACGAAAAAGTGCCGACCACGAAAAGCTCATTACTATCGTGTTAAGCAAAAACACCATATGGACAGTCGAACGTTGCCAAATTTCTCCAGGTAAAACATTTAATTTTGACGAAAGTTATGAATGTTTTCACCTGAAACTTTCATTTATTTCACGAATCGGACGGCTTAAAAATCACGAAGATGAAAAAACTAGGTAACACAAAACACTTTGAGAACCGAATAACTTGGCAACAGTGAGCTATGATTAAAAGCTATTTGACTGTTGTGTTCTCTGCCTTGCTTGGGAGGAACGACGTATGAACATTCGCAGGTTGCCAAAACCCCGATAAAACGATTGTTTTAAATAAAAGCTACAAATAGTTTTCCTTGAAAATGTCGAATGCAATGGATGCAATAGCGAAAAAAATGTCTCTAAAAATTTCGAAGGAAAAAAGGCACCATTTTCCTGAGAAATTCGTACTTAATCGGACGAAATTGGGCAACATCTCAGGATTCATACGGCGATTTCTTCAGCACGGTAGTACTGAATGATGATTCGTTAGATATAACGTCAGGATGACGACAAGAGATTATGGCGGGTCAAGATATACTGTTAAATGGACGGTTATGGGAGGAGGGGGGAGGCTGGTATATGATAGGAGATGGAGGAGGGTGGGGGGTACAAAGCACAAATTCCGTGATTAAAAATTGGGTGATAAATCAATTGGACATGATCAAGGAGGAAAAAAGTTAACATTGATGTCAGTTGACTTGAAGTCAGTTGCAATTGTTTTGTTTGACAGAGTGCATCGATTGTAGAAATTTGACAAGATGAAAATTTTGGAGCACAATTCTGCCCCACATCCCTCTCCTGTGAGTACTGTGTTTTATATTTCTTTGACGAGATTTGATTTGATATCATAAAATTGGATTTCAATTTGCAAAATTCCAGTTTCTATGTTTTAAAAAAAAAGCAAAAAAAGGGGGAGCAAGAAAGTAAAAAATCCAGAGAAGAAAGATTCATTTTACAAAATAAAGATTAGGTATTTATTCTAATAGATAGGATGCATTTTAAAAAATCCCTCTGGCGTACTTGTGAAAGAGAGATGGAAGTAACAACACCTAATGGGCTCATCGTGACTGAGAACTGTATCGATAAGCCTTTAAGTTCTTGTAATAACATTTTTTAAAGATTTTTGTTGAAATAATTTTTTTTAAATTATTCAGATAATTAGCTATTTGATTTTACTACGCATTTTTCTAGAGAGTAAATGTTTCTTATAATTCCTCACTTCTTTGTTTTTTACGTTAAATATTTTAATGAGTTAAATATTTTATTGTGCGGCTTCCAACTTAATTTTGGTATAAATTTAATCACAGATGAATTCAAAAATACTCGAGTAATGAGACAAAACATAAGAATGTAGAAGATGAAGCAGAGAGATTCTTTGAAGTACGAGATTTCACAGGTTAACACTGATATTTGGACTTCATTTTGCAATTAGGAACTACAATTTCTGGCTTAGTTTTTAATAACATATGTACCATTCGTTTCCCCCTGTACTTGAGTGGTTTCATAGATGAGCCAGACATTTTAGTTTCTAATTGCAAAATGTGGTCCACTTAAAATACAAAATTAATCAATATTTTAAGTTTAAACTCCTGTATCAGAGTGACAATTTTTCAAGGACTGCAAAATTTCCTGAATCTTTGAGAATTTTGAGCATACGAATGATAAGAGAGTTATAATTTTTGCTGACAGACCATACGTCCAACTGAAAATCATTTTTAAAATTCTTAACTTGATCCGAAAATTTCAAGGTCTAAAAGGTATTCTTTTTTTAATTTGTATGAGCTTACCCCCTGTACATTCATAGGAAAAAGCTATGATTTACCTTTGTAATTTTGACATGACAATGTGTCTGAAGAAAGACTATTTCTGCCTACAATAAAGCACTAATAACAATGAATTTACAGGGAAGAGTAGCCATTCTGGATGTGTCAGAATTACTGAGGCCTGAGGCAGAGTTTGCCTCAAAACCAGTTGGTCACTACCGCGACTACTCTACCGATGAGGATGACCCGATCAAAAAACGTGTTCATCAAACCTACACTGAAATGCACACATACCAAACAGTGGATTTTGTTCGAGGTGAGAAGAAATAGGTCAAAGTTGTTAGAGGTTCGAAAAAAAAATTTACAAAATTTGCTGCAATTTTATAAAAAAAATGTTTGATGCGTAATCAACTTGTAGTTTCTGGGGAAAAAACCAAAAATAAAAATACTTGAGACTGCTTATCTTCTTCGAATCCTTTTAAATAGGACTTTCTCATATTTTTCAGATCTATTTTTCACATTTCTTAAACTACCAACCCCTCTCATCAAAATTCCATAAATTTAGATATTTCTTTCTTCCAAGCTGAAAAGTAATCAGTTTCTTTCAATTTCGTTTCGTCTCACAGCTATCATGTTACAATCATGATAAGCTTTAATTGCTTGGTCAATAATACTTGAAGAGTTGAATTCCTTTCAGCCAATCAGAAAAATAGGCCGCATCATGCGACAAATGCAGTAGCTAACTTTATAAAGGGAGCAGTCACCTCTTCCTCATGATCTTTTTTCCAATTTTTGATCTATGTGATCACATATAGCGCCTCTTGGTTTCTCTCTCACGCTTTTGCCAAAGTTTAAGATAAGTTTTTCCTATTTTAAAAGGCAAGCATGAGAGGTGGCTTAAATTCAATACATTCAAAGCGACTATTTTTGAAGCACTGGTGCGACTTAATGAACTCGTCGATGAAAGCGACCCGGATGTTGATATACCCAATATTGTTCATGCCTTCCAAACTGCTGAGCGTATACGTCAAGACTACCCCAATGATGACTGGTTCCAACTGACAGGACTTATCCATGACCTTGGAAAGGTAAGCATCTGTCAAGTGCATAGGCTGTTGAAAGGGTTTAATTCCATTGCTCTCAAAACAGTGGAGTAATCATTGCTGAAGTCAGTGCCAGTGTCTAATGGACATACTGAACTGGGAAATTCAATTCTTTACTCCAAAATTGATTAATATTTTTTTTATAGTTATTGAGAAAAATTGTACAAGCTCAGAATATCTCAGAGAATGGCGTTGTTATCTGAAAAGGCTTGAGGATTATCAGCAACAATCTCACCGAGGTTGCTAACCAAAAGGAAAACGTTGATAACAAACGAACAGAAAAATGAAAAAACGCAGCATTGATTTATGGTGTGAAGCAGTGGGCTTTGTCAATTTTCATTGACAAAACTATATAAAATTACCTTGATTAATATTTTATGCCCCGATTCTTGATTGGACTTCAAAAATTGATATTACATATCAAGGGCGAAAATGAAAATGTTGAGGCTTAATTAAAGCTAATGATGGATTTTTCGAAGCATTTAAGTGGTTATTGCTGAGAGACTAGGATCACTCAGTGATCATGACAAAAAGGTAAAGGATATCTATTCATACTTAAGCGCTCTATATGAAAACGCTGAATATGTAAGCTGATGTTTCATTTCTTTCTTGGAATTATTTTGGTTCTGTAGGTGATGGTGTTTTACGGTGAGCCACAATGGGCTGTTGTGGGCGATACTTTTCCTGTGGGTTGTAGCTGGGGACCCTCAATTGTATACCGTCATACCAGTTTTGAGCATAATAAGGATGCCAAAAACCCTTTATACAAGTAAGTTAGACAGGTCTTGTTAAAATGGTAATTTTCTATAGTCTCAAGATTCCTTCCATTTTTCAACTGTTGTAACACAAAACAAAGGTATGCAAATTATTCATATCCATTATCAAAATGTATCTTTGCAAGAGAGAGACAAGCTAGATGTTGACGTTTGGGAAAAGTCAAATTCTGCCATAAATCATCAGCACTATAACATGAAGGTGAACCTCAATTTGCAAAAGAGCCCTCTGCTACTTATGACTCTATGCTTTCCGCAGCTCATGTGAAAATAGAAATATGCCCTTACATCAGAGAAGCGATGAAATATTGAGTAGATCAGAGCATATAGACTGTGAAACTGCAGGAACGTGTACCTCGTTTGCAGTGTTTCAAAATCTCTGCTTCCATTTTTTTTTAATCAAAGGAGAACAAACCAACGCTATGGTTTGAATTTTCCACAGAACGTTTTTCACATAGAGAGGAAAATCCGGGCAGTTTTCAAGAAAAGAAGTTGAGTATTTTTCCACTTGAAAAAAAAATTATAACAGGAAGTCTGTAAAGTCGCAAACTGAGATACGCATACCTCCAGTTTCATTGTCAATATGACTAACATTCATTGGATAATAGATGCAAATTGCAGTTGTAGTTAGATAGAACTTTCAGTTATCATGACGAGGGATTTTCTTAAGCTTATTTGGACATATTTAAATCAAAAAGAGCTACCTTCGCTGTGACTACAGCCTTGAAACCCATAACAATACATGCATGACAAGGCCCATGTTGCAACATAGATGATTCCTGTAGATTAAAATACGTACATTTGGAAAGGCTGGAATCAAATGGACGTGTGTATGCTTCAAGGAATAATGTTACACCCAAACCCCATAAACATAGTTCCTTTAAGCATAACTACGTTCAAATTTTCAATCATTTGTTCTACCATGTGGTCATATTTTTGGGAGACCCTTTGATATGCAATCACAGATGCAAATCTAGGAGACTTTAAGATCCTGCTTTTTTGATATAATCTACAGTTTAGTGTTCACTCGCCATCCCTCTAAAAAAAAGAAGTAATATAAACTCTTACTGACGATTTTTTTCCTTTTTTTTATGAATGAATTTCAGCTCGAAATATGGAATTTATTCGCCAAACTGTGGACTAGACAATATTATGATGTCTTGGGGGCACGATGAATATCTTTACCAGGTTCTCGTTCACAATAAAACAACACTACCAAAACAGGCTTTACACATGATTAGGTAAGACTTTATCAAAATAAATATCTATATTTGTAAAACTGTCCAAGAAAAATGTAAAGTAAGATGACAGAATAACAGGTACAAACTTAAATTTGACAGGTCTTAGCTCCTCATATTTACGGTTGCTTGAAAGGCAATGAAAATTTTACAAGAAAACAATTCATATTTCAGACATAGAGCTAAGTAGCATACGCTGTGCTTTCTTAGTCAAATTGCTTGGTGGAAGTTTGCAAACAATCCAGGAGTAATTTCGGACTTTTCAATTGTTAGGAGGCAGCCAGAGAATTCCAACTGCCACAACACCCCCCCCCAAAAAAAAAATTAACTAAAAAAGATGCGGTAACTACGATTATGCACTTTTTCTGACACTCTCAACTCTGTTACAGGTACCATTCTTTCTACCCATGGCATACTGGAGGCGATTACCAGCACTTATGCGGCTCTGATGATGAGCAAATGAAAAACTGGGTAAAGCGGTTCAAGTGAGTGGCCTCCAAATAAGAATTAAGTACCAAAATAGCAATTTTACTGAATTAGGATTTTCGTAGAAGTTCCTTTTAGTGTATTTTCCAAAGGAAAAGTACACTATTTTTTATTTTATATTATTTTAAAAATATTCAGTCACAAGGTAACATGAATTTAGACACATTCCTTACAGCAAAATTCATGATTTAAGTTTATTTAACAAAAACAGAAAGTTTGGACATTTAAGACTTCCATGTCCCGCTTCTCAAAAAAGCGACTTCTGCAGAATGTTTTTTAAATACATAACAAACTAAAGCATTTCGAGAGATTGATTTGAAAGAGAAGTCTTCTAAGAAAACAACCTGAGAAAAAAACAGTATCACTCTTGCTATACTCTTGTGTAAGGGTGATTAATGCCTCTATAGGCCACTAAATATGGTCTGAACTAGAGAGAAACTCTACATGTTTTGGCCACAAAATCTTATGAAGAAAATGATTCCCACAACAAGAAGGTTGGTAATCCACTCCCAGAAAAGATATTAACAAGTATTTTTACCACAGATCAAATGGAAGTCAAATCATACGAATGACGTTATTGTACTTTAGCCATTCGACTAATGTTAAATGAAAACCCTTATATATTATTTAGAAGTTGATTTCCTGACTTCTAGTTGTGTGATTTGTTATTGTCATGAAATTTTGAAGAGACAACACTTTGAGTAGTGCTTTAACTCATACCTTGTCTAAAGGCCCATTGGTATGGGGCTTGCAGTACCTCAGGGTTCCATGATTTGAGGTGCAGTAAATTTCAAAATTTTGATGGTGAAAAGGGGCTAATGATATATTTAAAAACAAATTCACAGAAAGGAGGGCAGAAAGCCAAAAAAAAGAGTTAAATACTGGGCTGACTGATATCACTCAATTTTGCTTGTAGATCCTCTCTGTACTTATACTTTTCACTCCTGTTTCTGTAACCATGCTAAAAGCATGTCTTATGGTTCTTTGAATTAATGAGCTTTAATGATTGTTTCAAAAATCAACAATATGAATACTACATATTCATGACTAACAGAAAATTCATTTGTTTATTTTCAGTAAATATGACTTGTACACCAAGGGCTCAGAAATACCAGACATAGAAGAATTGACGCCTTACTACCAGTCATTGGTAGATAAATACATTCCTGGAATTTTGGAGTGGTAAAATAGATGCGGACCGGATGGACTTCAAATTACCAGGGATCAGATTTTAACTGATTGATTGAATTGAATATTTGATTCTGGGAAGGATGGTAAAGAATCATAAGGCGCAACTGGAAACACTCATTAGTTAAGGCTTAGGACTGGCTATTTCGACGAGACTGGTTAAAATCTCCTACCAGCCAAAGAGTAGTTATGACAGGTGCAGTTATTTGGCAAGCAGCAAGAAAACTTTCACATTATCTAGAGCGTAAATTATCCAAAATGTACAGATAAGCCTGGCAAGGCTAAGATACAATGAACAAAGGCAGATAGACATACAAGCAAACAGGCACAGATCGGTGGTTGGTTAGCTTCTAAAATGATTTTTGATTTCCTCTGTGGTAAGCGGATAAATGTTCCTTTCTCTTAAACATTATATTTCAATGATTTATGATACCTCATCTACAGTTGTGTTGCGATAAAATTTGGACATGCTTCAAAGGGAAGAAACTCACCGAGTGCTCACTGTTCAGGAAAACAATGTAGTCTGCATCCGTTTTTTCCGCGCCTGTTTGCTTCTTTTCAATCTTCAGGTTCATCAATGACAGGAGTGCACTGGGAAGGAAAATTGAGAGGAAATGCTTTAAAAATGTCCATTCAGTATGGAAAACAACAAAAGTTGTGAATTCTTTTATCAAAACATCAATTTTTCCTATCAGAGCAATGTGGAATAGTCGTTATATTTTAAGCGAATCTCTTTCTAAGACTTTTTTTCATAGCGCAGAAGGACGATCAGTATGTCGTCTGCATATGTCTGTTTTGTTGTTATGCGATCTGTGTTTAATCTGACAATACTGTACAAAGTTAGAATCCAGATGAAGGGCAAAAGTGCTGCCCTGTGTCTCACAGCTTGCTATTGCAAAGATTTTGTCTCCATAGAACATACTGCGACCAGAGACATGATTTTTAATAGTCTCAACTGGATAGTTTGCAACCTTAATCTCTTCATCAAAACCTCAATGGTTTAGAAAATAAAGTGGTTTGGCACAAAGCACAAAGACTTGTTCATGATTTTTTTGATCATGCACATTGGAATCTCTCAAGATATTTTGGATGATTAGGAAAAAGAAAAACTGGGTTTAATTTTATTCCATTTTTTGAATTTTACAAAAGTAAAGAGAACCTAATTGGACTACATTTTGCAATTCTGAACTATAATTACCGGCTTATCTGTAAAAACATGTATGTGCATGAGGAAACTGATGGTTGATATGTTGTTTCTAAACTGAGCCAGAAAGTATAGTTCCTAATTGCAAAATGTAGTCCAATTCATGAACTAATAGGTGATGCAGTTTCATGAACTGATGGTTTGACTTGCCTTACCGTCAACCTAGATTCTCTATTATTATGATGATTTGAGTTTTAAATATGTCATTCAAAAGGTCAACAGTGGCGGCCTGGGTACAATAACATTAACCTTGATAACAATAGATACTTAAAATTTCCTTTCAAAAATTTATTCTGGCACATGAACAATCTCAGTATTAAACTTCCAAAATTTGCGGCAAATGACTATAGTAAAACAAAAACCTGGAGAAAATTCAAATGAAATTTATAAGTCTCAAAGCGGTAGAAGAAGAAATTCCCGGTTTCTGCAGCAGATTCCCTGATTTTCCTTTCAAATTTTTCAACCCTGATGAATACCGGATTTTCCTGGTCTAGACACCATGGATAGGTACCAACAATGAAAGAGTGGCTCACAATAAAAGAATTACTTACGAAGTATTCAACGTAGCACAACTGTTTGTTTTCAGTGTGTATCATGAACTGAAAGCAAAGGAGACCCTCACAGTCAGTTCGTATTGAAACTTTATCCGACACTGCCAGTGGTTTCAGCATGGGTTTGATCTGTGTATACTTATACCTAGAACAGACACACTTGATTAGGATCTAACAATGGGCCTGTTGCAAACTTTTGCTAAAGCCAAAATAAGAGTTGTTCCTTATGGATACTGCCTCAAAAATCACAATGAGCACATCAGCGAACTGTGAAATGCACTTCCTAACTTCACAATCTGCGTAAGAAATTTGCGTTTTTCAAAGCTTCCCACTTCAAAAAGGATACTACAGAATTGGCGTTGACTACGTTGCATATTGCGTAGTATCTTTGTGAGCAGGGGTTGGATGGAATGGCTCCTCTAACGAAATGTTCACTTGTGTCGTGGTATCGTTTTTGAGGCGGGAAGATCGAAAAAACGCAAATTTTTTATGCAAACTGTGAAGTAAGGAGTGCAATTCAGACTTCGACAATGCTCTCATCGAGATTTTAGAGACATTCTCTATAGGAAACAACTCTTATTTTTGCTCCAGCAAAAGTTTGCGACAGGCCCATTAGGAAAAAAAGCTCATTACTTTTGGCGAAGGAAACGGTGTAACTAGCTCTTTTATACAATGTAAATAGTGAAGCACACAGTCTCACGTGGACAGCAATGTGAAAGCAATCTCAAAAAATGTGAGGGCTGCCTCTAAAAATGTGAAAGCAGAGAACTTTCTGCATCCTTGCACTCCCCTTTGGAACAGAAATTATTTTGAAAAGAAGGGGAGATAAAAGAAAAATATTTAAATTAATCTCCTAATTGAGGCGCTGGATGCAAAAAGGGCACTTCTTGATTGCGGTGTTTCAGAATCTCTGTTGCAAATTAATCCCTTGGAGAAGAATTCAATGGGTGATTTTTCCAGAATTCTTTCTATAGAAAATTGTGGAATCATAAGGAATATTCGATAGAATTTTTAGTGAAATAGATGCATTCACTTTCCTTACAATGAATGAAATATTAGATGAGACTCTGAAACACTGCAACCAAGAAGTGCCCTTTTTGCATCCAGTGCCTCAATTCAATTATTTATTAAAATTAAAATAATATTAAAATTTTTAATCTGAAATGTTAAGAGGTCAATAATTTAATCATGTGAAATTCTGAGTGGTGAAATGGACTCCATGGTTCTCTCCTGAGTAGGAAGAAAAAAAAAATAGAAATGGGAGAGAATTTCAGGGAACAATGCATTTTAAAGAAATGTTACTTTATAAAGTGGGAAAAAATTAATGGAAATATTCATTCAGTACCTGCCGCGAGATGTGTCTTGACATTGGAAAGTCTCGACCATGTCACTGTTTTTATTGATTTTCACCTAGAAAGAAATGAATAGCTCATCAACACTTCTACTTCCAAAACTGCTTAGTCTATTGCCACAATTAAGTTTGTGTAACATCCGTAATTTTTGAGTATTTGATCTCATTCAAAGATTTAAGATGTTAAGATGGAGAAATTAATCCAAAGTTACATTTTTCGAGAAAATATTAAAAAAATATCCATGGTTTTTAGATTTACACCCTTTGCTTGCATAGTAATTAATCATGGTGATGGAATTAAATACATTTATTTATTTATTTATTGTTCTCTAAAATCCACAAACCATGAACTATAGACTCCAAGATTAATATTTCTCAAGGTCTATAATGATTTCGATTCCCAGCAAACAATGAAGAATTCATTCTTGTTTGGGTCTAAATATCTCAAAATGTCAGGGTATTAGAGATACTACTTACATTGCATTCTGTCCAATTTCCAACCGTTTTAATTTTAAAGTAAGGGGGATCAGGAGACATAAAAATTTCGACAAACTCAGAGGAGGGATCTAGATCACAAATGTCTTCGTGAAAACTCTGAGACCGGAGAATCAATTTATTCAAGACCGAAGATGGAGGAAGATCGAAGTCCAATAACTCAAAAGCCTCCATTGTTTTCAGGGAACAGTCAGTGATGTACCCTTCTTCCTCTAATCTGAAAAAGATAAACATGGATTTATGGACGGTATGATACTTAGTATCATTGCAAATAGACAGGATCTATTTGCGAAACTTTCTGAAAATGGAAGTTACAAAAAATCGAGGGTGATATTGCCCGGTTATAAGAAAATGTTATTTCTTTATCTTTGAAAAAACCACCAGGACTTCAGCTATTTAATTTTGCAAGGGGCAGTTTTTTGACCTGGACTGGAGCTGCGGAATAATTGCTAACATATTTCCAGATTTGTTAAGTGCAGTTTTGAGTCTTAAACATTTGATTCAAATATAAAAAAAAGAAATAAAGATCAACGTACAAAACTTGCAAAGGGGCTCCATGTTGCCTGTACTTCAGCTTAACAGCAGTGCTCGCACCAGGTGTTGATGAAATCCCATCAAAAATGGTGAGACATTCAATTAAAGTGGACAGATTCACTCGAAAAATTACAGGATCTTCTTTTACTTCATAATCCTGTAACACGAAAAAAAGCAAAAAATATTAGATCTGTTCAGGCACCAAGTTTCTAGATTCAATATTAAAGGAGATATCGCTCATCAAAAAATGTAAAATAGCTTGTTCTTTTGGAGATTTTTCAGAATAGCGAACTGAAACGGGCTTCTAGATTTAAAAATAGCTTCTGTAAAAAATTGACAGTGAAACCAGCATTTTGATGGTAAGATTATTCAATCTCCCCATGGATTTGGGGGTAGAATAAGAGCTCTGCATGAGGAAGAGTGGAGGGTTGAGTAGGCGTTAGCATTACTCTTACCTATACTTTTTAAGTGTGGAGTGTGATTTTTTTTTTTTTTTCACAAAGTCTGAAAATTTTAGTGTCTTTTCTCACAAACATAAACAAAAATCACCATCTGTTGTAGGCAGATTCATTTGACAGTTCTCCCAACAAAAAATAAAATGTTGGTACAAATACTAAAACAGCATAGACAAGATATATTCCTTCGCACAGGTGACAATAAACTGTACGAGGGGCATTCAATAAGTAAGTATCCCCCCTCTCTAAAATCAATAGGAATGGACCAATTTTAAAAAACTTGGGCTCAAAATCTTCCTTAGGATATACTGAGTTCAACAAAACAAATCGCGACAAAATCGGACCATGTGCGGCCGAACGCCAGCCGTTTGAACGCGCCGAGGTGCATGCCGCTCCCGCCGAATCCGCGGGGATTTGAAGTCCAAGACAAGAGAAGAGCTTCTCTGCCAACGCTTCAGTCGTTTATCACTGACGAAAAATCAAAGAAGTTTTTGTAGAATAAGGGGCTTACCTCACCTCTCCACATAACCAGCTCGACCCAAGCAGGTCTGATACTGATTGTGAAACTAAGAGAACAGTTTTTGGATACCACGCGTGTCCTTTCAACTGGCGAGGGATGAAAGTGTTGACGGCTTGTTTGACCTCCTCCTCTGATTCAAAATGAACTCCCCCGGGTTCAGATTTTAGATACGGTAATAAATGGCAAAACAGACCACTATTTATTCCCCTTTCTAAAATCTGAACTAGGGGGAGTTTATTTTGAATCAGAGGAGGAGGTCAAACAAGCCGTCAACACTTTCATCCCTCGCCAGTTGAAAGGACTCTACACGCGTGGTATCCAAAAACTGTTCTCTCAGTCTCACAATCAGTATCAGACCTGCTTGGGTCGAGCTGGTTATGTGGAGAGGTGAGGTAAGCCCCTTATTCTACAAAAACTTCTTTGATTTTTCGTCAGTGATAAACGACTGAAGCATTGGCAGAGAAGCTCTTCTCTTGTCTTGGGCTTCAAATCTCCGCGGATTCGGTGGGAGCAGCATGCACCTCGGTGCGTTCAAACGGCTCACGTTCGGCCGCACATGGTCCGATTTTATTGCGATTTGTTTTGTTGAACTCAGTATATCCTAAGGAAGATTTTGAGCCCAAGTTTTTTAAAATTGGTCCATTCCTATTGATTTTAGAGAGGGGAGATACTTACTCATTGAACGCCCCTCGTACCGCAGCTATTCTGAAAGGCAATAATTCTGTAGTCAATCAAATCTGGTTCTTACAGAATTCAATTTAAAAACCAATGAACCTATCTAATTCTTGTTGTACCTCAAACACATCTGCACAAACGAAGGCACTGGCTTGGATGCATCTTGAATCTTCAACCACCATTTTGATACCATTTTCAGAGGCAAAGCAAGTGGCTGTCTGTAAATGAAAAAAACAAATTTAAGAAACTCTGAAAAATATGGAAGATTTTCCATCCACACATTAGAAAGTTATTTTGCGGCAGCAGAATCTATATTGCTGCTGAGCATACTAAATAATCAGTTCCTGGCAAAATTGCATTTTGATTGGAACCTGTGCAACCTGTGCCAGACCACTTCTAAGTAGTGAGCAATTAAAAATGTTAACAAAAAAATTTAAGTTAAAAGTTTCAAATGAATTCTTCTATTAGTTTTTCTGTAAAAAATTGGACAAGGTTGAGGCCTTGGCAACTTAGTTCTTAGTTCTATCCAAATGGCTCATGAATCAAAATGCGACTGCATAAAATAATAATTAACGTTGACAGTTGTCAGCCCTACTAAATATGATGACTGATTTAATAATGTGAAGGCTAGATAATGAGTAATATGTGAGTAACTCTACATAGAGCTGCACTTGAAGGTGATTTGTCAAGCTCAAGTGATGTGGTCGAACTGGCATACGATATATCGCATCAATTAGGTCAAAAATCTCGGCAGATTTAGAATTTTTAGCAAAAAATAGGGTGATAGCCTCTGCGCATGAGCCTAAAGAATCATTCTATACCCAAAAATTGACAAAATTCAGAGAAATGAAAGCAGAATAGTATTTGGAAAAAAACCTCGCATTCCAAGAGATCGATAGCTGAATTGAATGCAAGGTTTTTATCCAAACACAATTCTGCTTTCATTTCTCTGAATTTCGCCAATTTTTAGGTCAAGAATGATTCTTTAGGCTCATGCGCAGGGGCTATCGTCCTTTTATTTGCTAAAAATTCAAAATTTGCCAAGATTTTTTACCTAATCAATGCGATATATTGCATACCAATTCGACCACGTCACTTGAGCTTGACGAATCACCCTGACGAGAGTGTGAATCTGGGATTCCTTAAGCACAGTTTTAGATGAATATGACAACTCGCGGTAGCCATGATGCAGTTATGTTGAACATAATTTCAGTGCAGTCAAATCACCATAAATGCTCCAGTCCACGCCACATAAGTTTGAGCACTTTAAAACTGCAACAGAAGAACAACCATCTTGCTTCTTGCATTTACTTTACAAGTAAAAGTGACATCAGACCAACTTCGGTTACGGTCTAGAAGTGCTTAAATTTATTTTACGTGGACTCAATGAGGTTCATGACTCCAACTCAAGATCCTCCACAGAGCAATAAACTGCGTACCGAATAAACTTCTGAGAAACGTTCAATTCTGAGGCTACATAAAATAATAACCCTCAGAATGACAAGTCCTCACTCTTGTTGTAAAGGCAAACAATTGAACCATGAGATTATTTGTAGCAGAGAATGTGATTCAGGTAGAAAATATATCAATTCAAATTTACCTCTTGAAAACTGACAGCCTTTAGGACTTTAGACAAGTTCGCTACATTATCTACTTTTGCCACCAGCAGGTAATCATCATTCCTGACGGTATTCCTTGGTCCGAGTGAGTGAGCCATAAATTATCAGATCACGAATTCCTTCGGATATGATAGTAACAATGGAGTTTTATAACGCTTAAGGATGAGCAATGGTTTTCAGCGCAATAAAAACAAGATCACTGTGAATTGTGAAAAATCCCACATGTGGTGTTTCGTTTGTTTTGGTTTGCTGATAGTTGATAGTGAACAAAGAAGAAAAAGTTTCGCGGTTCCCGGAATTTTCAACAGCTCTGCCACCCGAATTGATTTCAATATAGGATTGCAAAAAACAGGAAATAATGATACGGAAGATTACACACTATAACCTTTTATAATAATTCTCTTTGATTTAAATACAAAAACGCAAAAGACCAATGGAAATGGAGTGGGAAATATTATGAGAAAAAGGAAAGAGGGATAGGCAAACAGAGAGACTCCCACTCGGAGTGTTGTGGCAGATTGTCTCGAATTGGTGAAATACTTCTAAATGAGCAGAGAAGATGACAGTTTTAACGGCTGGTAATTACATAAATCAAAATTAATTGAGCGATCTGAAGTCCGGCCGTGATCGCGCAGGAAAATGCATGGCTGGTTCACTGGTTGCTATGTTGAATTTCAAACAGCTGGACGAATATCGAATACTCGTCTCGAATGCGATTGTTCGACTATCGCACTATCGATTCATTACCATAGCTTCTTACGGGGACACAGCTATAGTCGATCGTTCACGAAGTTTGGCAAGAAATCCGCCTCAACCACTGGACTCGTTTTTCTCGCACCGGCTCACTGAGGAGAAAAGCCGCGGCTAGAATTCTTACGATCAGCGACCTTCCTCCTCGTTTTACTTTTAAACTTTCAATCTTAGAGGAAAATGTCATAGGACCCGAAATAACGGCCGTAAAATTTCCTATCGGTTCATTACACAAAATTTTCGAAAAAATAATTTTCGTGACCAAAAATAAGGTATTTAAAAAGGGCGCAGGCAAAAATTCTTATGATCAGCGACCTTTCTCCTCATTTTACTTTAAAACTTTCAATCTTAGAGGAAAATGTCATAGAACCCGAAATAACGGCCGTAAAATTTCCTATCGGTTCATTACACAAAATTTTCGAAAAAATAATTTACGTGACCATAAATAAGGGTTTTAAAAAGGGCGCAGGCAAAAATTCTTATGATCAGCGACCTTTCTCCTCATTTTACTTTAAAACTTTCAATCTTAGAGGAAAATGTCATAGGACCCGAAATAACGGCCGTAAAATTTCCTATCGGTTCATTACACAAAATTTTCGAAAAAATAATTTTCGTGACCAACAATAAGGGTTTTAAAAAGGGCGCAGGCAAAAATTCTTATGATCAGCGACCTTTCTCCTCATTTTACTTTTAAACTTTCAATCTTAGAGGAAAATGTCATAGGACCCATAATAGCGGCCGTAAAATGTCCTATCGGCCCATTACACGAAATTTTCGAAAAAGTAATGGTGAACCAGGGACCAGGGCTCAGAATGAAACTCGGTCATTGCGCCTTTGAATGCTTTGTTTTGTCTACCTACTATCAATCCCTGGTCATGGCAGCATTCAATAACTTAAAATTTCAAAGGAAATTATCAAAAATTAAAACGAACATACTCACACTTTACGATTAAATTTCCTGATCAGCTGCTATTTCTTGCGTCCGCAACCTATTAAACATTACATCAATCGATTCAAGCACAGGAACAAAAACACAAGAAAACTCAGCGCTCTTTACATTATCAAACAAGCAAAGAAGCTTCCATCATTTAAAATTTGAAATTGTGACATTATTCAAGAGCAGACAAACATGGCGGCACTGCCGAAGTGTGTCAGCTATGTAACCGACACTTGAAAATGTGAGATAAAAAATGATGCAAAAGATGAAACTTGGCAATTCTTATAAAGATATCTTTATAAGAATTCACGTTGCTTGAAAAGTTTTCTAAACTTTTGGGACTTCCTGTTATAGTTTAATATAATATTAAATTAAGGATTTTGTGTAGTGTAAAATTAGTGCTACTGACCTAAAATTCACTGGTTTTCATAAAAATTAAAGTTTTCAGTGTAGAAAAAGCCGTCTTATTGGTTTGGTCAAGAAGGATAATATACTTAAACTTTTTCTCAGGTACAAAATTAAACTTTTCTAATTTGTTTTGCGCCGCTCAGTTCGAAAATGACCTTCGTTTTTTCCTATCATCTTTCACTTCTTCGAAAAAGTGACTTTTTCCCAGAATGAGGAAATTTGACCTACTTTTGTCATGCATCTACGATGCACCGTTTTCGCAAAAAAGCTAAGTGAAGATTCAATTATTCGGCGACTATGAATAAAAAAGAACGAAGCATTTGAGAAAAGGCCCGATGTAAATAAGGAAAAAACGTACCTAGCGCGTGTCCGTCTTCTTATCTGTACCTGCCGACTCTAGGGCTATCCCCCTCCTCCCGCTCTCGATGCGTCCGTTTGACGCTCATTTTCCTGTTCATATGCTCCTCACGATGGGTGGTCGAGGAAAACGGCCGGCGTGCGGAATCCGAGATAAGACTGCCGGTCGGTGCGGGAGTTCCACTGATTTGTTCACGATCGAACACCTACTGAAATGAGAAATCTTTCTGGCTTTTCATCGCCAAATAATTGAATCTTCACTTAACTTTTTTGCGAAAAACGGTGCATCGTAGAAAGTTGGCGCAATTAGGTATAACTTTTGATCAGCATCTTGAGGAGAATCGAAGTAGGTACATAAGTCAGAAGGCAATCGGTCGTGGTGCAGCTTTCCATAAGAGGTGTGCGGGGTCCTTTTTAAAATTTTAAATCTACTTGTATTGGACGCATTTTGAAGCTTCCATGACGGAGATTTTCCATCAATTTCTGCAAAATAGGTAATTACGCTTTTTTTTCCTTTTAGCACAAAATACTTTCGGATTGTTGCATTCAAAACACCTGGAAATTTTTTTCGGGAGGGGGGGCAGATGATACAATTTTCAATTCTAGGGTGGTCCAAGCCTCCCCGGACTCCTCTTTCGTACGTCTATGGCAAGGAAGTTGAGCCATTGAACTCGCGGATGTCCAGACTGGAGACTCTTAGCATCCGACGACGGAAGGAAATGAGACGCAGTTACTAAAAATATTAATTCATACTAAAAATCTTGAAAATAGATAGAAATCTTCAAAGCAGCTAAGGAAAATTCCACAGTGCCCCAGCATTTTTTGAAAATGTATTCACCTTTTGCGAAATTTTTAGGGTAAATTTTTCATTATTCCTTACGAGACAAGGGTTACATCTGAATTCGTAGTGGTTTTTCACCAGTGGCACGGCCGCACGGGCCTCTCCAAGGCCCGGGCTCCGGAACCAGGGACCTAGTATCCCCCCCCCCCTTGTGGCGGACCTGATTACAGCTTCCATCAAAGCGCAATTGCCCGGAAACTAGGACCGCACATCTTATCTGATAAAATCGTTCGCCCTTTAGACCGATTCTGGGGGATTAGGCTAGACTAGTCGATGAGTCAACTGTTGGTCTAATTTCATTACGTGAACGCAGAAGAAAAACGGGGTAAAAAGACACTAATGTGTGATCAATTTTCAAGGACAATTCTGTAATTTCTCCAACGAGTTTAAATAGATTAAAACGCGTAATATCCAAAATCTAAGCTCAGATTCAGATTCCTCGTGAAAAACTGATGCGATTTCATGTATCATATGTTAGAATAGCGTGAAGGAAAAAGGTTTAATGCGACGCGTTTAGATTCTGTCATACTACTACCCCGTTCGAACTACGCCGCCGCGCTGCGCCGCACTATGGTCCGAATAGCCGGTTTAAGCGGCATTAAATCAGATACGTATGTTTAAACCTCGCAATATGAGTTTTCAGGGGTTTTTAGGGTCGCTGAGTGCAAAAATGCTAATATTCTTCAGGAAAAATCCATTTTTAACATTTTTATACTTTATATAACTGTGGTAATAATTTGTTAACAAACCTTAAATTGAGAATGCAAGTTCTAGTTGAAGCGGTGGAGCAGTTGGCATCGCGTCTCACTCATCTTCTTGATGTCCCGGGTTCGATTCCCGGTAGAATTTTTTATTTTTTTATAAGTTTAAAAATTAATTTTACATTGGATGGACTATAAAGAAGCTAAAAGTAGAGCCTCGTCAAACACTACTATCAAGGGAACTTGAAAAAGACAGCTCAGGATAATACTTCTACGTTTCATGGCTCCAGAGGCCTACTTTCAAGTCCCACCGATCAGCCGTTTGAACTTGTTTTCGTCAGCCAAGCGAAACTTAAGCTTAAATATATCCATTTTGATAGATTATTTGTTTGAAACATGGGTAAACGTAAAAAAAAAACGTTTACGGGACCTCAAAGTGGCTTCCTAAGACAATTTCACTGCTCGGGAGCCTTACTTTCAAGTCCCACCGATCAACCGTTTAGACTTGTTTTCGTCTGCCAGGCTAAACTTATGCTAACATATATCTACACTAATAGATTATATGTTTGAAACACTTAAAACGTCAAAAAAAAAACTTTTACGGGGCCTCAAAGTAGCCTCTCGAGGCGATTCTTTGCTGTTCTTGAGCACAAAGTTTCAATTGGTCCCGATCAACCCCATCAACTCGTATTATTCTGCCTGGGCAGATTTAGGCTCTAATGCATTCGATTTGCTAGAATATGACAATGGAACATGATAAAAGTCATCGTCAATGGCATATGATAGCTAATTGTAGTAAGTGATAAGAAACGCGAAAACGTCATTTTTCATGAGAAATAACTTGAGGCTATGGTGGACTATGGTTCAGCCATTAGACTTGAAGGTAGTCTAGAGTCATGACAATAACTTCCGAGTAAAATTACGAGGTGCTCAGAGGTGCTAAGTATATTTTTTGGGTCCTACTTCTGCGATTTTATTGATAAAACTGACTATGTCTAAGGGTTAATCTAGAGCATTAGATATGATAAAAAAAAAAAGTTTCAGCATAAAACATTTTAAACTTATCTTATATTTTGTGAATCAAGTGCCCAAACACTTTCAGGTACGGTGAAACGACGAAAACAAGCCCTTAAACACAGCACTGCCGCTCGGTAACTGGAATCGCACTCATAAAGTGCTCTGCGCGCCGCACTTCCCAGGCTTGTCACATCTTTATTAGTGCTTTAATCGAAGTGAAATTTTACAGGAGTCTTCTCTACAGTATGTACTATCGATCTACCTCTTAAAATCTAACTTTTTCCAAACTTCACTTTTTCGATTTATTGCCGCTTAAACCGGCTATTCGGACCATAGTGCGCCGCGCCGCGCGCCGGTCGCCCGAGATGCAACCGAACGGGGAGGCGCCGCGCCGCGCCGGCCGGCGCTATAAGCAGCTCGACTTCGTCGACCACCTCACCACGATTCTAGGTGGCGGTAGCCACCCCGGCCCAATCCTTAAAAATTCCCCTAAAAATTTGACGACCTAAAGAAAAAAAAAAAAAAAGACGGGTGGCTGCTGCCTAACTAGTTTTACACGAATAAATTCTTCACTGAGCACTACCCATGTTGCCACGTTGCATTCATGTGCTCGAATCAGTATGCTACGTTGCGTCTCTTTCCTCCACGCTATGCTCGGGTATGATACATGAAGTTGCATCGATTTTTAACGAGGAATCCGAATCTGAGCTTCGATTTTGGGTATCACGCGTTTTAAGTCACATTTTCCAACTTCAAAAATCCGAAATGACGGACGTGGCTAAAAATGCTATCTCGGCTCCTGTTCGATGGATTTTTGTGAAACTCGGTGTCAGGGTATGATACATGAAATCGCATCGATTTTTTACGAGGAATCCGAATCTGAGCTTCGATTTTGAATATTACGCGTTTTAAATCAAAAGCTGTCAAAATTCAAAAAATTCAAAATTCGAAAATCCGAAATGACTGAAGTGGCTTAAAATGCTATCTCGGCTCCTGTTCGATGGATTTTTCTGAAATTCGGCGATCCGCAGGCACCTAGGTACCTGCGGAACAGAGTTAAGAAATTTCGTGAAAGATTATAAGAAGAAATTTCATGAGGAAATTTCAAGAAATTTCATGAAATTTAAGGAAATAAGAAATTTCTTTTAGCAACTCTGCTGCGGAAGGAAACAGCTGGACTGATGAGCAGGCCCGCCACAAGGGGGGGGATACTGAGTCCCTGGTACCGGGGCCAGGGCCCCGGAGGGGGCCCGTGTTACCCGTGAAAACCACTACGAATTCACATGCAACCCTTATTGTTTCGTAAGAAAAAAAGATAAATTTACCCTAAAAATTTCGCAAAAGGTGAATAGATTTTCAGAAACACGCTGGGGCACTGTAGAATTCTTCTTAAATTTTCAAAGAAGTGTACATCTTGGAAAATGTCTGTATCTATTTTCAAGATTTTCAGTATGGAGGGATATTTTTAGTAACAGCGTTTCATTTTCTTCCGTCGGTCGTCAGATGCTAAGAGTCTACAGTCTGGGCATCCTCGACTTCAATGGCTCATGGCTCAATTCCCTTGCCATAGACAAACGAAGGGGGAGTCCAGGGGAGCCTGGCCCTCCTAGAACTGAAAATAGTATCATATGCCCCCCCCCCCNCCCCCCCCCAAAGAAAAAAAAAAAAATTCCAGATGTTTTGAATGCAACAATTCGCAAGTATTTTGTGCTGAAAGTATAAAAATAGAAACATGATTATTCCGCAGAAATTGATGGAAAAATTCTTTATGGAAGCTTCAAAATGCGTCCGATTAGTCGTATAAATTCTAAAATTTCTCGGGGGATGCCCCTCTGACCCCCCCTCCGTGCTTGGAGCCCGGACCTTAAAACTGGTACCAGGGCCCGAGATGGGATGTGGCGGGCCTGCTGATGAGCGGCTCTCGCCTCTGCTCTCGTTCTCTCCTCGCCCCGCCCGTTCTTCTCTCGCTCTCATCCTCAGGTTCGGTATCCGGTGTTGTGAACCCCGCGCGTGCCGCAGGAATTTCTCTCACCGCCTCGCCGCGCCGCGCCGCAATATGCCGCTGTCGGAAGCCAAGCGCCCGTTCATTATTTGCTGTCAACTTTTCTGTATGTATTGTTTCCCACATCCTTATAGCCATAATTTATTAGTTGTTCCAAAATATGTTAGGGTTTTCGGCGAACACTGCGAACCCATGGACGCCACGCCACTGATACAATCAGTTGGATTTTCAGTCTAAAACTTGATACACTTGAGTGCAGTATTTTCATTTAATCAATTAACATGAGTAAGGTCAAAAATGGGATTTTCGATAAGCATACCATACTATCAGGTATCAAAAATTCAACGTGCATTTTCATCCGGAACTAGTGAAATCTCTCTTTGAATAACTTCTTTTCACTAAAAAGACTAAAAGTTTGAAAATACCCTCCCCCCAGTGCAAGCTCTAGCGATCGTAACCCGGGGAGGGGGGGGGGTGATTTAACTCATTTAACGTATCCTAGCCCCCTTCCCCTCCTCAAGGAGCCTCCCTAGAAAATTGTTTAAATGTAGATCCTCGCGAACATTTTAGTCTATTTTTAGGATGAAATCTGATGGAACGTCTTGAAAAACAATGGTTTTATTTCATTCTCTTTAGCTTACTTACGATCATTTGCCACTTATTTGAGGTATATCTAGTCGCTACTCCACAGCGTTTAGATTTTTTTGAGTTATTTAAATTTCTCAAAAAAACATCTCTCTGCGTTTTAAACATAGCAATCGCAACCGCGACGGGAAGAGGGAACAGGACAGCGCATCGGCAAAAGCAGCGAAGCGCTCCGACTCGGAACGTACCGCTCTCCCCGCCCGCCGGATTCCGCCGCCGCGCCGAGCTGGCGCCGAGCAGTCTGACAACCGATTCTCCAAAGCATGAGTTGGCCCGTGCCGTGTTCAGGCCGCGCAGCGCGCTGCGCCACCTCCGTCCGCTCTGCCACTTTCCTACTTTTGTGGCTGCTATATACGTATTTCCGTCTCTCTCTTTCTGTTCTTAATGCAATTTACCTACCAATACATTTGATCAATAATATTTGCTAAAATTTAAAACATCTAATAGGTGTAATTTTCCTCTCTCTTCTGAAATATTTGGGCAAGTAGTGCTTGCCTTGCTTATCCGGACCGCACGCCACTGACAACCCCCCCCCTTAATTTGTCATCATCGTTTGTGTCATCGTATATTTTAGCATAAGTTTGGTCATAAATTCATTTTTCGATCAAAATACCATTAGTTTATGCCAAGTTTCAACACGAAATGTCTACTAGGACGAGTACAATCTACGGTGAGTACCTTTTCTTTTTACCCCCGAGATCATGTATTTGTATCAATAAATCAACAAAAGTAAGGCCAAAAATTAAATCCCCGATCTAAAGTTCCCATTAATGCCGAGTTTCAGCACGAAATGCCCACAAGAACGAGTAAAATTTATCTTTGAGTAACTTATATGGTTCTCCGGAAAGTTTGGAAGAACGCGTAAAATTGTGTATATGTGTCATTTTATTGAAGAAAGTAAGGTCAGAAATGAAATCTACGATCAAAATAACCCAGGAATAATTTGGTTTAGCACGAAATCCCCAGGAAACGAGTGGAATAGCCGCAAAAAGTAAGGCGATGACCGGGGGCATTCTATACGCTTCGCTCCTGAATAGCCGAGCCGGTGAGAAAACGAAGCCGGTGGCTTGAGGCGGATTTCTTGCCAAGTTTTGTGAATGATCGAATACCGCCATGTCTCCGTTAGAAGCTATGGTAAAGAGTCGATAGTGCGATACTCGAATAATCGCATTCGATACGATATTCGATATTCATCCAGCTGTAGTAGGGGATTCAACATGGCGGCCTAGCTTTTCCGAACTGCGAGTGCTCTGAATCCTCGATTCATTTTACCGCTGAGCAGTCTGGCAACCGATTCTCCACAGCATGAGTTGGCGCTGCTATAAACGTATTCCTGTCTCTCTCTCTTTCTGTTCTTAATGCAATTTACCTACCAATACATTTGATCAATATTATTTGCTAAAATTTAAAACATCTAATAGGTGTAATTTTCCTCTCTCTTCTGAAATATTTGGGCAAGTAGTGCTTGCCTTGCTAATCCGGACCGCACGCCACTAACACTCCCCCCCCCCCNCCCCCTTAATGTGTCATCATCGTTTGTGTCATCGTATATTTTAGCATAAGTTTGGTCATAAATTCATTTTTCGATCAAAATACCATTAGTTTGCCAAGTTTCAACACGAAATGTCTGCTAGGACGAGTACAATCTACGGTGAGTACCTTTTCTTTTTACCCCCGAGATCATGTATTTGTATCAAAATTTCAAAAAAAGTAAGGTCAAAAATGAAATCTACGATCAAAAGTCCCACCAGATGCCGAGTTTCAACACGAAATGCCCACAAGAACGAGTAAAACTTATCTTTGAGTAAGTTATAAATTTTTATGTTTCTCCGGAAAGTTTGAAAGAACGCGTAAAATTGTGTATTTGCGTCATTTTATTGAAAAAAGTAAGGTCAGAAATGAATTCTACGATCAAAATAGCCCAGGAATACTTTGGTTTTAGCACGAAATCCCCAGGGACGAGTGGAATATAGCCGTAACAAGTAAGGCGATGGGGGCATTGTTTCCTGGATGAGCTGAGCCGGTGCGAAAACCGAGTCAGTGGCTGAGACTAGAGTCCCTTTATACTGAGAGTCAAGACAATTCGGCTCATGGATGTCACAAACGGGAATAAAGATTACAGAAATTGAACGTTTTTCGTAATCTTTGATCGGCCCATTCTCAAATGCCTTTCTCCGTTCCTCCTCTCTTTCCGTTTGTTCCTTGCCGAACCCGTAATTCCCTGGTCCATTTCAGATTATAATCTTTGCAATTGGTGAAAATGTAATCTTTATTCCCGTTTGTGACACTGTGGAGGCCTAAAATACGGGAACCAATCAGAAATGGATTCAAATTGTCTTGACTCTCAGTATAAAGGGACTCTAGCTGAGACTGCTGAGAGACGGATTTCTTGCCAACTTTTGTGAATGATCGAATAGCGCCACGTCCCCGTTAGAAGCTATGGTAAAGAATCGATAGTGCGATAATCGAATAGTCGCATGCGATACGATATTCGATATTCGTCCAGCTGATTCAGCACGGCGGCCAAGAATGCACAAACAATGCATTTTCCCGCGCAATTACGCCGGTGCCCGAATTCCAAAATTCTGGATCGCTCAATTAATTGTAATGGTTGAATTTTAATTTATTTAATTATTAGCAGTTGAAACTGTCATCTTCTTTGCTCATTTAGAAGTATTTCATCAATTCGAGACGAAGATTTAACCCCGGGGCCAACGAAAATTAAGAAGAAGCCATGGGAAGTGCGGTGAAACCTAGGGTAACCTCGAGCTCTAGTGCTTGTGACACCGAAGTTCTGAGTGGATCTATACAGGTATGAGTGTAAGAGTCGTTTTTCTGGTATTCCTTTCAATCATCTCTCTTTCAACTAAATCGAGGAAGCTTACACTACTGATTCCTACATGAGAACTTAGTGAAGTTCCCATAACTTACGATGTTACAACAGAATTGTCATCAGACTCCTGTGACGGAAAATGTCTTTTTGTCTGTCGCTTGACTTGTCTTGGAGACTCCACTATGGACCAAGATGTATCTCTTTATCCATTCTTATCTTATCTAGTCAATCTATGAATGCAGACCGGTTCTTGAAACTCTGTTGGTACGCCAGGACAAGATAAGGAATGTGTGAGCTTTGCGATTGGTAGTCCTTGATCTCCTAGGTCTGGACATGCTGAAATGAGTTTCAATGATCGATTCCTGTGTGAGACATGTTGACTGAAGCTAACTTTAAAGAAGGAACCTCTGAGCACAGTGAAGAGTGTTTTACAGGTTTTGTTTCCCAATCCCCTGCATATAGCAAGAACTGTGAATATTGTTGCCACGCCTAAAGATCATCCTAGTTCGGACTGCATTGCCAGGTATTTTCGGCCTATATTTCCTCCTCAAGAATTGTAACTTCCTCATTCCCCAAATGTCCTGTAACTCTCTCCTTCTTTCACTTTCATGTCGTTTAATCTGTGAAGGAAAGAGTTAGTTTGTCTGCATGTAGTCTTGCTGTGATAACGAGGCCAAATTCATAATTTTGAAAGCTCACCTAGACAATCTCTTCTCTTCCCTGCGAACCGATAGCTAAGCCTCTGTTTCACCTGATCATTTCTCTTTCTTTATTCAATGGGCCAGTTGCACTGGTAACAGAATCATGTTTTGATGCTTGGTTCTAGTAGATCAGCTCTTTATAAAAAGGTCTGTCCCAACAACAACTCTCTACCGTGAATATTATCCGAGATATCCCGCCTTGAAAAACTCGATTCATGACGTCATCCACTGCGTTAGTGCATAACGTAATACCTCCTACCGCGGTGGATGATGTCATAAATTGAGTTTTTAAAGGCGAGATACCTCGGTTAATATTCAACGTAGAAATTTGCTGTTTGGCCGGATCTTATCATTTTTAGTTGATCTGCATGAATAAAGTATCAAAACTCGATTCTGAGAGCAGCACGACTGGCCCATTCTTCCACTCCTATGTTTTATTTCTATTGTTTCATGTCTAAATTTGTCACAATTACCTGTTTACTCTGCTATCTAGAGGTGTCATCAGCTAAGTTGGCATTTGTTTACATTCCACTTGCAAGCAATTGCGATGCAATTGTCGAACAGCTACAGAGGATTGACGGTAGCCCCATCGTGTGCTTCGTCAATCCTCGATCACTGGTGGACGACTGCATTATAGTTGCTTGCAAACGATATGTATTCAAGTGCCACCTTAGCTGACAACACCTCTACCTCAAGTTAGCAGTATTACTTCTGATAGTTTAACACTAGTTTGTCCTACCTCTTGAAGGCATAAAGTTATTTGACCAATTTTATCTACTATCCACTGTCAACCTTCTCTGGTATTGAATCGTACAACACTCAAGAATATTTATTTTTGGTTTTCAGTGTACTCTCCGTTTCTAATTGATTAGAGTGGGTATGTTTTCAAAACCATTCATTTCTCTAAGTTCCATGTACAACAATGCTTACTTGCCAAGTCTTATTTTTATGTCTTTGATGGTTTTTTGCACAAAGGAGTCAACTTCTCAAAATGGCGGCAGAAAAGCTAACATTAACCGATGCCTTATCCAACGTCGACGCCTTAGATGAGCTTACGTTACCTGATGAACAACCGTGTATCGAAGCTCAGCCATGCTCTGTCATTTATCAAGCTAACTTTGATACCAACTTCAAAGACCGGAATGGGTTCGTCACTGGCATAGCAAAGTACATTGAAGAAGCCATCGTTCACGCCAGTTTGGTAAGCTTTACATTCCTGCTGCTTGACCATCATTAATCTGCCTAATTGAATGGATGATAAATGATATTTTATGATCTTTAGAAAAATCTTGCTTTTCCAAGACAATTTTGAGAAAAATGAGTGGAAATCATAAGTGTTTAGCAGGGAATGAATTAAATCGAGAACTACCGATATCATGCTTAAATCGGTGTTCAGAAAAAATTATTTGACTCCTTTACTCTTACCTAGATCATTCCAGAACTACGGCAGGATCAGAAAGATCGTATCCGAAAAGTTAGTTCCGTGCAAGTGCTCTCAACTTATGGCAGACATTCTCAAAATTGGTAGAGGCATCTATTTTAGAATAAAATCAGAAATTTATGTATTTCTTTGATGGAAGGTCATTTGAACCTTGATTTCAATTTTAAAGATTTCAAACTATCCCAGGAATCCACTGCAGATCGACCTTTAAATGTAAGTGTATCAATTTTTGAACCTTTATAGTATATGCACTGAAAACAGTCAATAGGTTTTTTCATTGAAGCTTAATCGACACTGGTTTTGGTCGTTTGTTAAATTCTGAGCTTTGCTGTATTGTGAATTTGAAATTGTCAATCTACCAATCCTATAAAATATCTATTTGTAATGCTCCAGAATGTACTGTTGAAAGATGGCTTGGAACATTCGGTCATGCTGTACATGTGGAGATGTTGCTCTCGAGCCATCCCGCAACCGAAGTCGAATGAGCAGCCGAACCAGGTGGAAATCTATGAAAAGACTGTTATAGTAGTAGCTCCTGAAGTGAAAAAGCTGCTTAATTTCATGTATTTTCAGGTGAGCATTCTAATTTTGTTAATTTTCGACATTTGGTAGGTAATTGAAGTGGTGTATTTTAGGTAAAAACTTGTATCACATTCTCTACCAATGTGTCTAAGAAGTGTAACTGATTTTGCTGGGCCAGAAAAACATGCAGGAAAAAGGGGATATTTGAATGCTTCAAACCACAATTTCCACTAATCGCCACAATGCTAGAACTTAGTTTAGGTTACCCCCCTTACAAGCCCTCTGCTTGTTAGTTCGGTGTTAAAACTGGTGATGGTGCCTATATTGCACAAGTGTGTGATCTTTTATTTATTTACTTATTTGTTTGTTTAGTATGAATTGGTACAATTCAAAGGCTAAAAATTGTTATAGTGCATGCAAAATATCGATCACCGTGCCTGAAATTATTTGACGCATTTAGCAAGAAAATGGTCTTGGAATTGAATGGGTGACGTACGACAGGCCTCAGCACGTGCTGTTCCTAGCGCCAGGGGGAACGGTCTTCTCCAGACGAGCCTGCGTGGGTCCGTTTATTGGAGTCCCTGAACGACCGCCCCCCACCAAGGACTTATGCGGCGGGCGAAATCACCCACCATCGACTCGCCCGGCATAAAGCACCGAGGACCCGCCCGACGGCTACGGAGGAGAGTCGGCGTCTACCGATACCGGCGAGCAGCCTCGCTAACCCCTCGGCGCCGAGGTCCGAGCCCGAGGCCTCAAAGTTTGGGGTGCACCGATAGCGCGGTATTGGCCTCGGGCATAGCCCCGGCTTGTCAGCGAACACCAGAGTCTTCGCCCGCCAGACAGGCTCGCTCCATTACTCGGCTCGGGTTCTCGCGGGCCGTTCTGGTCGGCCCGCTTCAATACTTAGCGGTTTGAAGCCCCGAGTCGTTTGCCCCGGCAAGACAGCGACTCGCGTCACCAAGTCGCCCGCCGCAAGAAAATGGTCTTGGCTGTGGACTTGTCAAAGGTCTTAGTCTTTTTGATATTCGCTCAGTTTTTCCGTCTATTGAATCTCCATCTTATTTTTGCTAATACTCATCGAAAAATTTCATTTTTTCTTGTTAGATATATGCCATAGGTTTAGATCTCAATTGGTTGTACAATGATAAATTCTGGTTTGCCAAATTATAATTCCTTTTTTGAACTATTGCCCTGAGGAAAGTTTCATGCTCTCAGAGAGGAAACTACGGAGTGAATTTTCTGAAAATTTTCATTTAAAGAATCATAAAATCATGAAGAATATTCAGTAGGAGTTTCAGTGAATTACACACATTTGCTTGATCATAATGGATGAAAAATTGGTGAAGATTCTGAAACACTGCAACTGAAGAGTGTCCTTTTTGTGCTTTGATTTTCTCAAAAATTGAAATTACTTAACAAATCCTTTTTTTTATTATTTTTTTTTTTAAGGAATTTTATTTAAATATAACGCAACTACCACAAGTATTTCCTTGTATCTATCTACACGGTTTAAAACTAAAACTAAACAAACTGCATTCATTTTACAGGGTAACGTTAGATAATATGATGATTATCTCTAAAAACAGGAATTGTAAAATGCTCTGCCTTCTTTTTTAGAGATATTAAAACATGAAGGTTTTTAGTTTAATTGTTTCACATTCTTCCTTTTGCACTCCATTCACACTCTCATTCATACCTTACAGACTACTTCTAAAGTAAATCTTGATAGGAGTTCAAAGGTCTCCCACCTTTTAATCTTTTCACTAATATTGTACTGTCCAAGAGGTTTATAGCCTCTTCATTGGCATGTTTTACAAGACAACATTCATATCTCTTCGTTGTCTCAGCAATTACTTGTCTAACCGTGGGTACCTCCAATTCTCTCCTTATGTCTTCGTTCCTTAAGAACCATGGTACTCCAATAATTTCTCGTAGAACCTTTGACTGGAATCTTTCTACCTTATTTATATTAGATTTGCTTGCACAGCTCCATAGTTGTGAAGCATACTGCCATATTGGTTTTAATATTTGATTATACAATAAAATTTTGTTTTTCTTGACAATTTTGATCTTTTGCCGAACAACCAATACATTTTTTTATACTTTTTATTTAATTCTCTCACCTTGATTCTAATGTGATCTTTGAAAGTAAGTCTACAGTCTAAATAAACTCCTAAATATCTAGCGCTTGTAATGTAAAGAACGTGTTCATCTTCTGTGAGAACTGGTAATTGTGGTATTTTCCTATTTGTAAAAACAGTATGAGAAGATTTACCTGCATTGAGCATGGTGCCATTGTCAGAAACCCATCCAACCATTTAATTAATAGCTTTTTGTAATCTATGATTAGAAATAAAAATGTCTTTGTCTCTTTCTGCTAAGGCAGTACCATCTGCAAAAGTGCCGCTAAAGCCCCTCTCTGGTTTTGAGATGTCGCTAGTGAAGATATTATATAAATATGGGCCCAGTCATGATCCTTGCTATACTCCTGCTTTTATTCTTCTATATGTTGAATAACAATTATTAAATTTAACTCTAAATTTTCTGTTCTCCGGGTAAGATTTGATTAGTTTATTATGATTAAATGGTAAAAAAATTCGAATTTCGTAGAGAAGACCCAGATGCCAGACTTTATCAAAAGCTGCTGAAATCTCTAAAAAAATCATCGAACAAACCTCTTTATTTTCCCATGCCCTCTCTATAAGACTCACAACTCTGTGCACTTGTTCTATGGTAGAATGTGATGTCCTGAAATCGAATTGGTGTTTTGGTATTATCTATCTTTCTTCTAAAATTGGCAATAGTCTTTTTAAGTAAGCCCTTTCCAACAATTTACTCAACACTGATAGTAATGAAACTGGCCTGAAGGAATCTACCTTTTCCTTGGGTTTATTTGGTTTATTAGATCAAATAATTCTGTTTTTGTAATTTTAGGAACTTCCAAATTTTCTTGCTCTTCTATTTCTAGCGATTTGTGGCAAGATCGCACTCATCCTTGAGACTGTTCTCAGGAGTGAATTCACTTTCCGAATGATCAGCGAAAACTTTAGCTCTTCTTTCAATGTCTTTTACTTTAACTTTATTTTTATCTAATATGGGCGGTGAATAAAAAATCTAATTTTTAAGGTACTTGGTCGCCCTCCAGAGGGAATAATCAGTATGAGCCGTAGGTGATAAGTGTTTCAGAAAATTTTCAGTTTCTTTATTTTTAAAAAACCAGCTCATTTTTGAGACCTTCCTTTTTAGTCTATTAAATTTATTTTTTAGTGCATCAGTTCTCTCTTTCATCCATAATTTCCTAACCTTCCTGGCCTTGCTAATTATTTCCAGAAGTTCATGAGGGACTTCAGGGGCTAATTTCGTTCATCTAACAGTGATGTGATTATTATCAATAAAGTTTGTAATAAAATACTTTTCAAAGAATAATGAAAGTGTTCTCTCCTCTCTGTTGTTTTACTTTTCTCGAAATTGTAACAAACGAGATTCATAATATTTGCGGTAAAATTTTATTCCACACAAGTACTTACTTTGATTTTGAAAGTTAGAGGAAAGTTGCAAGTTGTCAACTTAAATTCCTACCCCAGTTGGTGTCGCAGTGGCACTTTTTTTCTGAGGGAAGGCAAGGTGAAAGGGTTTTGTTGAAAACCTAAACATCATTTCATGCTGCATGCTTTGCATCTATCATTTAAGGAATATTTGAACTCAGAAGCATCTTTCAAAATCTATCTTTTAACGTAGTCCCTAGTACTGTTTCTAATTAGTGACAAGATATATTCATGGAAATTGTTTGACAATTGAAAACAACAATTCTGAGCTTATTTTATGGCTAGATTTGTTGATTTTTTTTTCATGAACATTCCTCTAAGATTAGTCACCTTCCGCACAACATGGACAGGAATGTATCTTGATTGCGTTTTTTCAGTATTTCTTATTGACTTCTCATTTTTTCATAGGAACACCATTGCACCAATTTGTCTGAAATTTCCAGTGACTTTTTTTACACTTGAGAGAGAAGACACTAAAATTTTCAGACACATTTGTTCAAAATTTTTCAGTTCATGAAAAACTAAAATGTTCATTAAAGGCATGTTCTCTTGGGCACTAGATGGACGATTGATCTAAATACTAACTTTTCGGTTTTGCCAACATAATACTTGTCATGGCTTAAATTTGAAGTTAAATCTGCTAGGGTAGTAGTTAAAGTACTGTATCCAATTTTTTATGTCAGTATGAACTTCTTTGGAATTAGGGTCAATTCAAAATTATAATTTATTACTTTATGAATTACTTTTTGTATCTCCTTTTCAGGTACGTCTTATACCTGTTAGATCTCTGCAATGACAGTGCTCATTATGCCCTGACTGTCTTCTGCAAATAATTTTTATACGATGAAGTTGAGGCAGAAGTCAATCTGTGCTTCCATCAGTTTGTGTATACTTTTAGTGAGCAAATATTTGCTCATTATAAGCAACTCGCAGCAAGGTATTATTTGTTTATTAGCCAGTTTATATTTTTTTTTATTTCCCCGCTTCCGTAATATACATTTTTCTTTTTCATTTTACCGATTGTTTTTTTCGATGAAGTTTCCTATAAAACTAATCTTCTGTTGACGCTCTGTAATTAATTGGCTATGTATTGACAATGTGTAGGTAATTTCTTGTTGTGAAACTTTTTTAAGTCCAATATTCTTCTCTCTGTAAAATTTTAACCTGTTTAAACTAGCGAGTTTCAATTACAGAACATAATCAATTCTTTCTTTCCTTTCAATAATTTTTTTTATTTATTTATTTATCAATTTTTTTAAACTAATAATTAGCTATTTTATCAC